GCATAATAGGCAAATAGCCTAATGGCTTGTCTGGGGTCATCACCAAAGACAAAGAGCTTAACATACAATAAGATGAGCATAAATCAGTGTCATATCATGTATGTGTTCCTTCAACCACAATGGTAGAAAATTAAAGGTTGAGAAATGTAGCTACACTACCTTCAATAAGGACTTCAATTGGCCAATGTCAACTTAACAAATGTAAACACTCAAAATATTTAACCAATGATCTATTCTTTCTTTTGCACTTTTGGTCTCAACATAACCATGAAAACCATTCCACGAAAAGGCATTCGACATGTAGAATTTACAACGCGATAATGCAAGAAGACACTAAATTACCCAATTTGGAGAACTTCAATGGGGATGGCAGCAACAGAACCGAACAATTCCGTTAGCTTATGCAGAATTTCTGCAGTCCTGCAAGAAATTACTACCAGTTACAGTACAATTTTAACTTTCCCCCTAAAACTAAAGCGAGCGTGAGACTTTGCATAATTAAGTCATCTTATCTATTGTGCACTCAATAAATTGTCCACCATGAAGCTTCCTTAAAGATCTTTTTTGCTAGTCGAAGTACTCTGTAGGTCCAGAGCACCTTCGTCCAAAATCAAATTCAGAACCCGTTCCTAACCCCCTCACCTCCCCTTTTCCCCCTTCCACCAGGCCATGTGCCTTGATGGTTCTTTCAAGGAGTTATAATCTAAAATAGGAGGACTAAAAATCTCAACAGAAGGATCAGTACTGGTAAGGATCTTGTTGATATTGTAAGGATTGTGTTAACGAGTGGCAACTGATTAAGGAAACTTTATACTTTCCAATGCACTACATGTCCTCGTGTTTTGCACGATCAGTGCTTTGTAATTGAAATATTTCAAATTAAGTATAGTTAAAGACCCACATTGTTCTTAAGATCTAGTGATGTATCGAAAAGCTTCACGGTTAAATACCCGAAACATCTTCTCATGAGCAGGTTGATGCACAGGTTTTTAAACTAAAGACTGAAAAAAAAGCAAATATGCTTCCAAAGATTATAAGAAAGTCTTGTCAACGGCTTGAGATACGAAATCCCCTTGATGTGAACTACACACAGGGAAGGCTGCAAAATGCATGTATTAGTCAAACTAAGAGAACATGTAAAGCACAAGTACGCACTCATCAGATGGGAACTCATAGCTGATTAACGAAATCAAGAAGGGAAAAAATAAAAATAAGAACGGGACCTCCCCATTTCTTTCAAAGACTGCACGAACACCATCCCAGCTGATTCCATCATGTCATGAAGCAGCGAAAGACCATCTCCTGCTTCTCCAAGGAGATCGCTCTTGCTCCGGCAGAGACGCTCCAGAACAGAGGAGGCCAACGAAGCCGCCTCCTCGTACATAGAGCACACCAGGTAACTGCCGCAATTCCAGAAAAGAGAGAAGAAAGAAACATGAGCAAAACAAAAAAATAAAAAAAGAAAGAAGGAAGGACAAGATGAGAAGAAATCGGTCGAACCCTTTACCTCTCGCAGATGTCGATGTCTCCCCAGATGGAAGGTTCCGACGAAGTCCCCGTCCTCCCCACTGCCGCCATGTCCCAATGTTATCTCCTCGAGGCAACCAATGATGCCTGGCCGGAAGAGCGGCTAAGGCGAGGTTACCGAGAAATTGGGCGAGGGAGGGAGGGAGCGAGCGGGGAGGTATGGAGAGACACGGAACCTGGCGGTGAGATCTCTCTAGGTGGTTGGTTGGTTGGTGCCCGGTGGTGGGAGGCTGCCGCTGCGAGGTGTGGCCGATCAAGCGTGGGGCTCCGGTCGAGACGTGTAATCTGGGGCCCTCTCTCAACAGTGAACCGCGGGACCGATGAGATGGGAAGGAGATTGAGAGTCGTCTTTTGCTCATTTCGAGGGGAATTTATTCAGCGCTCGTTAAGGAACCCCCCCGATGCCTACAACTTTTTTTGGGAGGAAAATTTCAAACGAAAGTATAGAGCGCCTTCATTTTCTTAAACAAAAATTTAAAGTAGATATTATCTTAAATAAAAATTTAAAATGCTCTCATTTTTTCGAATAAGAGACTGAAGTGGTTATAACAGTTTCAAATAAAGGTCTCATCCTGCTAGCTCGCCGGCCGGCCAAATTTTCCTGCCGTTCAAGGACATTTCCGTCTAAAAATAATTTTAACATTAATTTTAGTTAAATTAAATTTAAATTTAAAAAAAAAACAAAAAACAAGGGGGAGGGCTGGCCTCGTCTCTGGTCGGCGAGGGCTCTATGGATGATGTTGAACAATGTCGAGAGTTATTGGAATTGAAATGACAAGAAACAAATTTAGTTCTTGATACACACTTGGGTGCACTTCAAAATCGACTAGCTCTAATACCAAGTAAGAATTGACTAGCTCTAAAAGCTTAAGATGTTATAAATACATGATTATAAACATTTAATTATCCTAACACAAAAGTATGTAATATCAATAGTTTTGTTTAGGTACCAAACCGTGTGGTCGTTGATTCAATCCTAATTTTTACGAGGGCACAAAGGGAAAACGGGAAAAAGAAAAGGAAATAGGGTGTGGTTGAGCCCACACGTGCACAACAAGGGACACCAATGAAGGAGCGCCTCCTAGCCACAGCTAATATCTGCTTCTCATCCGGTGGCTGCTGCTTAGCACGCAGCGAAACTTAGCCAACAGAAAGGAAGGGAGATTCAGAATTGAGTACTGATACAGTCTACTAAAAAAAAAAAATAAGGGATAAGTATATCGGATATATTTTAAAATTTGTCACGAAACTGCAATTAAGTCCTAAAACTTTAAAAAAGTGCAATTCAATCCTAAAACTTGTCATGAAAATGTAATCGAATCCTAAAACTTGTTAAATTGGTCTAATCAAATCATTTTATTGATTGCATTTTTTGAGATTTTTAAGACTCGATTGTACTTTCGTAACAAGTTTTACAACTTAATTACGATTTTTTAAAGTTTTAAGACTCAGTTACACTCTCGTGATAAATTTTAGAACTTCCGACGCACATATCCCAAAAAACAAATACCTTAAAAACAAATTCCTCCCCTTGTTCGGCTTTGAGATTCGATGGAGCTCTAGAAGACGCCAAATCGAAGCGCGCCTGCTTTGTTTGTTTTGTTCTCGTTGGTGCTTGATTGGAGGACTTCCTCCATCCCAGATTTTACATAACGTTTGCTTTGCTCGCACTTGCTTTCCCTTTGTCCCAATCGATCCGATCACAATCGTACGTGAGAGAGAGAGAGAGAGTTAACAGAATTGACGACTGATGTTGTCTAATCAAAAAACATACATCCTAAACCAATTTCTTCCCCTTGTTCGGGGTCGAGATTCGATGGAGTTCTTGAAGTCGACACATCAAGAAGTCCTCGCTCGTTTGTTCGTTTTTGTTCTCGTTGGTAGTTAATTGGAAGACTCCCCATTCCAGATTCTAAACAAATGTTGCTTCGCTCGCGCTTGTTTCCCGTTGTCCCCTGCGATCCAATCGCAACCCGATGAGGACAAAAAGCTCGCTTTGGACGGTGTCGCTGTAGCTCTAACTAATTGAATAAGGCGACCTGGTCTCTTGAAGTCTTTAATCTGTCTTCGTTTTCTCATGTTGAATTCAACTATTCGGAGACAAACCCAGGCGAGATTCCTTATGACAAAATCATGGTCGTCGGCGTCCCCCCCCATATAACAAGCCCTCCAGCTTATTCATTCTGCAGCGAATGACAAAGATGGCGGTGATGGAGAAACATTTCCTTTTCCTCTCTCTCCTCCTCCTGTTCTCATTTGGGCATCCACGTTTTGCCTCGGCCGAAGGAACAAGTGACGGGTCCGAGCAGTGGGGATATGTGGAAGTTCGACCGGGGATGTAGTTTCGGTGTCCAAATTCTTCAGTTTGGTGGAAAAAACAACATATGGCCGTGATCAAATTAATGATTGCTGTATATATATTTGTTCATTTGAGCCATTCCACTTTCAAGGAATAAGCTAATGTTTAATTTATTACGGGAAAATACCACCAAAAATCTCAAATTATGTCACTTGGAATAAATTTACTCTGAATTTTTTTTTGTGACACGGAAAATCCCAAACTATGTCACTTGTGACAAATTTACCCTAAACTTTTTTTGTGACACGAAAAATCCTAAACTATGCTACTTGTGACACATTTACCCCACAATACTTTGGCCCATGGACATTTTCGTCTTTTTCCTTTTTCTTTTTTTTTTTTTCCTTTTTTTTTTCTTTTCTTCTCTCTTCTCTCTGCCGACCATGGCGGAGGGAAGCCGGCGAGGCCGCCCTCGCCGACACTAGGGTTGAGCGAGGGCTGCCCTCGCCCGCCCAGGCGAGGGCGACTCTCGCCGGCCTCGCTTGAGTCAGGCGAAGTCACCCTCGCCAGATCCGGCGAGGGCAGCCCTTGCCCGACTCAAGCGAGGGTTGCCCTTGCTAGATCTGCCCTCGCTAGATCTGCCCTCGCCTGCCCAGGCGAGGGCGACTGTCACCCGACGCCGGCAAGGGTTGCCCTCGCCGGATCTGACGAGGGCGACCCGCGCCAGCGTCGGGCGAGAGTCGCCCTCGCCCGACTCAGGCAAGGGCGACTCTCGCCCGACGCCGGCGAGGGTCGCCCTCGCCAGATCCGGTGAGGGCAGCCCTCGCCCAACCCAGCGCTAGCAAGGACCGCCCTCGCCGGCTTCCCTCCGCCATGGCCGGTGGAGGAAAGAGAGAAGAAAGAAAAAAAAAACAGAAAAAGGAAAAAGACGAAAATGTCTATGGGCCAAAATATAGTGGGGGTAAATGTGTCACAAGTAGTATAGTTTGGGGTTTTTCGTATCACAAAAAAAGTTCAGGGTAAATTTGTCACAAATGACATAGTTTGGGGTTTTTTGTGTCATAAAAAAATGTTCAGAGTAAATTTATCACAAGTGACATAGTTTGGGTATTTTCGTATCACAAAAAAAAGTTCAGAGTAAATTTATCACAAGTGACATAATTTGGGATTTTTGATGGTATTTGCTGTAGGCGCTCACCTCTTCTGGTGGCTATACAGAAGTCCATATAGAGTTGTTGACCCTTCCAAACCCTGGCCAGTACTGCTGTGGCACCAAGGAGGCCCCGTGAGAATTTTACCTTTGAAATTACACCCAATAGAATGAAAATCAGTGTGTTTTCATTACCTCTCTCCTTCATTTTCCTAGGGAGCCTCCGGTGTTGGATTTGCAAATTTCAGAGAAATCGGACCACTGGATGAGAATTTGCAGCCCCGGAATTTCACATGGCTTCGAAAAGCAGATCTCTTATTTGTGGTACGTAGCAGTTTCTCTTCAGTTTCATACAATCATTCTGAAGAATGCCCTTCTAGGCATTGGCATTTAGGAGGCACCGCTGCTTAGTTTTTTTGTAACTCGTAATCCTCTGTGTACACAGGACAGTCCAGTGGCAACAGGTTTCAGTTATGTGGAGGATGAGAGCTTAGTAGTGAGAACAGACAATGAAGCAGCAGCTGATCTCACCACTTTGCTGATAGAGCTCTTCAATGGGAACGAGACCCTCCAAAAGAGTCCTCTGTATATCTTTGCAGAATCATATGGAGGCAAATTTGCTTCTGCCCTTGGAGTAACAGCTCCAGCAGCTATTGAAGCTGGAAAACTGAAGGCCAACTTGGGGGTAGAAATTCTTTTTTTCCCAACTACTTTGTGGCACTTGTTTGAAGTAGTCGCACTTTGTCCCGACTTTCAATATTCGATGCTCAGAGACCCGCTATTTCTGATGTTTTATCGTAATGTCCGAATATAGGAGTTGCTTTGGGGGATAGCTGGATTTCTCCTGAGGACTTTGTGGTATGTGATTTCAGCCACCAAGAAATTTGTTTGTTTTGCATAGTGAAGATAGCCATTTCTGCTTGGTGACTTACTGCTGTATCTGCATTACATCGAAGTTCTCATATGGACCTGTTCTTAAAGTCATTTCGCGAATCGATGAGAACGGCTTGAATCAATCCAACAGGTCTAAGTCGCATTTCTCCTTCTAAGTCCTTACGAAGAAAGAAAACTAGACAGACGAGCATAACGTCAAGTTAACTATCGTGCTATCCAGTTTAGCCCTGAAGATCCAGCAGCAGCTTGCAGAAGGCAAATCGGAAGATGCCACGGCAACATTTCGAGACCTGGAGCAAGTCATCCTACAATACAGTAATAACGTGGTATCTTTCTCTCTCTCTTGTTCTTGTCATAACACAAGAAGATGGTGTGCACTTTCAGTGTTGAGGGAGTTTCTGAGAGCCGCATGACCTGCAGGACTTTTACAACTTCATGTTAGAATTTGAGAGCAACTCTACGGTGGTGAAAGAGAGTAGAAGTAGCTCAACTAGATACACAGAGAGAACCTCAACTGGTGCATGGGCAGCCAATAGTGACTTCAGAAGCTTGATGAACGGGCCGATCAGAAAGAAGCTAAAGATCATCCCAGATAATGTGACGTAAGTTCCAGAAGACCAGAAATGTTTGACAGATTTAACTCTGCTTGCAGTTTGACACAATCCTTTATATTGATCTTTTCCCGGGTCAATCAAAATTCATCTGTGTTGTAGATGGCAAGGACAGTTTCGCCTGGTTTTTCCAGCCATGTATGGAGATTTCATGAAACCAAGAATTGAAGAGGCAACAGCTAATCCCAGTATAAACAAGGAGAGACAAGAACCTGATTTTAGTTTTCCGTCGTCTGCCGCCACAGAGATTATGAAGTCTCATAAAATTTTTCTCAGGGGGACAAGCTTTTAGCCAAAGGCGTAAACGTCACCATTTACAATGGACAGGTCAGGGTTTTTCCATGAACTTTTCCGTGCTCTTCACGCAGTCCCATCGCCGACTGAGTTTGCCTCCACATAATCTCATTCGACTTCCTAATGCTGCAGCTAGATCTCATATGTGCAACAAAAGGAGCAGAAGCATGGGTCAACAAGCTCAAGTAATGGCTCCTTTTCCAACAGAACACACCCATAGACATTGACTCCCATTCTTAATTTCGAAAACGGTCCCTCATGCTTGCCTTGTCATATGCAGGCGGGACGGTCTGAGCAATTTCCTGAGTGAGGACCGGGTCCCTCTATACTGTGGAAAAGGTTTTACGGGGACGAAAGGATTCGTGAGATCACCTCTTCTTTTACTGGATTCTCGGTGCTGAGCACGCGGTGAGTCATTATTCACAATCGCATCCCTCCAATGGAATTGTTTTCGGGTTGTGAAGATTACTTCAAGCTACGAATCATTCTTTCAAAAGTACAAAAAGGATCACTCAAGATGCATTCGATTCCTGAGGATATTTCTAATCTGTTTTCACCAAGTAAATTTCTGATAATGATATTCTCCCTCTCGATTTTTCACATCTATGCAAACCAGCATGATTCAGGGTTTCCGATTTATGGAACTCTGATGTACCCTTTTCCATATATCTTTTACTAGCCGTAGCTCAGACCACTATTCCATAAAAAAAAATATTTCACAAATTTCTTTTTCTAGTATTCCTTTTTCTTGTCGTAATTCTTAATACAGTTTGAAAATAGTGAAACATTAAAATTGCTTTTCGCTTGTTGAAAATTTGTTAAATAAGGAAACTCTAAAATCTTTTTTTTAAATGATTTCTTACTTCTCTATGAAAACAGAAAACAATCGAAATCATTTCGCCAAAAAATACTCCGTTCCCATTTTCGAGGACATCGTGATCGTCACACAAAATGCTGCCAACTCGAGCGAGAAGATACATAGTTATACCTGATAATGAGATGTACATTGAGCTCCACAAAATAAGAAAAACATACTTTGGCATTGTAACAGGATGTTCTCCACAAGCCTGGACAGTCGACACTATTTTTTTCCTTTTTCTATCACATTCCAAAAACTCCATTCCCCCACCTAAGCAGTTCGATACATAGGAACTCAGAACAGAGAAATTTGAAAACACAAGATGCTGAACCTGCAAGAAGATATCTGTAGTTTTTCAGCTTGGTTTTTGCCATTCTTCCGCAGGTACCCAGCGACCAGCCGTGCATTTCCTTACAAATGGTGGGCAGCATCGCCCAGTCACCAAGCAAATCTTAGTTTGAAAATCAAGCAAGCTCAAAGGAGTCTATCGTCAATAGTAGACTTTTTCGTCTCAAGAACAACACATGGTAATGGTGAAAAGATAACAAACTCCAGAGAATAGTCTATTCATGTTTCTTGCATACAAAGAAATAACTTAACAAAAAGAAAGATGATTCCACACCACAACTGTATTACGACCCTGAAAGCGACTATGAGGGTTGACAACCGCAACAAAAAGCGTATTCACCAACATTGCAAAGTTTAGGTGTGAGACTATCCTCAGGCTTTACTACAAACTATGCCAAAATTGCAAAACAATATATTCTCATGTAACTGAAAACTAGAAGCTGAAATGGTCCTTTAGCTTGCACTGTTCAATGAAGTGAAGAAGTGTCAATTAATTGATTGGATATCAATTGTGTATGTAATCTATCGATTCCCACAGCTTGTGCTACATACTTGCAACGTATGACCGTTGGATTGAGAAAAGTTCATTCTCACTCAAAGTAACTGTCTCGGAAACTTTTTCCAAAGCACCTCTCACCAATCTTTCCACTCGTTGATTTCCTCCATTCTATCAGTAGAGAACACAGAAGCAAAAGACGGCACCAGCTTTTAAAGCTTTTAATGAAAAGCTTAACCAAGGACAATCACACTTGCCAAATCAAAACACAAGTATTGCGAAAAAACGTATCGGGGAATCAAGAAACAATTCAAAATTAACCGATGAGCGCATTCCACTAAACCATTTTACAACTATAACATTTCATAAATATAACATCACCTCCAAAGTACGACTCCAAAATTGTTATAATACTACAACTGTATGAGAGGTCATTCGTCGTTCAAACGATCTAATTCTTTCTCCCACTTCATCCCAAACATCTGGCGTCCAAAGGGCACAATGAGATTATACCGAAAGACCTACACAACCGCAACAAATCCATCTTGTTAACAAGATCAGCACCAACCAACTTTCTCCGCTCCATAAAAGTAGTAGTATACTAGAAGCAGAAGAAAGCATCCGTCAAATTGAATACAGCAACCCAAGGACTCACCTTGTCATTAATACCGCGCATTTGCACTTTCAAAGCCTCCGAACGGTCGTCCCACTCGGATCGACTCCCATTGCTTCTGCTCATCCATGCTTTCTTTAGCACTCTCCGCCACTCGGACATCGCACTTCTTATTTCCTTGTTAAGTTCTACCCACTCTGGAGCACAGCCATTCTTATTAAGAATCCGATACAAGGTGTCTTCTGCCGGATCTGCATGCGGATTTACGCTGAGGTCAAGGGGTTTCCCTTTTCCAGGTAAGTTCTCAAAATGTCCTTCCTCCATCGAATGCCATATTCTTTGCTCCACTATGTTCACAATATCAGTCTCAGATCTGCCAAGAGGGTAACGCAAAACATCATCAACCGACCCCTAAATAAGCTTCGAATTTTTTTCTATTCAAGCAACAAAGTGTGCATCAAGATGCTAATCGAAAATCAAGGAACACGTCCTATTCTCTTCTTCAATGCAACCATCAAGACAACATAAGTCCCAATCCGGAAATCGACCTGACTACAATTCTGCACCGAGGATTCCTTACAGTTACCTACTTCGACTGCAGCAACAAATAAGCAGTTACAATCAAAATCATGGGAATGAACAATGAAAGCTCCGTTAAAAGCATTAAGTCCTGCTGATCGTTCAGTATAAGCATTATTATAGCAGAACAATCATGTGCTTGATCTTCTGAGTCAATTGCTTTTTACTTTGCAGCATCTAACTAAGCCCAATTGAGTAGGCACATTATGATAAAACAGAGTGCTTATGCATAGAACGCAATGCCCGGTGACAGCCAAACTCAGCCACCGATAATCCATATTTCTACTCCCTTAAAAGAGAAAGATCGTGCAAACTAAAGCCCAAACTCCAGCACGCATGGACATCTCGCGAAAGATATACAAAAGCAGAAATTGTACGCTAGCTCAATCCGAAGAAGCAGCAAGCAATTATCCCCAAAAACCGGCAAATTCACCGTACAAATCATACAACCCAATGAAACAACTCCAAAATCAACAAAGGAACGGCTTAATAGCAACCCCTGCAAACGCTCACGCAAAGACCCACGTCCCGCTCAGATCATCTCGTGCGTACCTGACGGAGTTGCGACGGCCACGGAGTTCCGGAGGAAGCTTGCGGTCATTGACGGCGTCGATCACGGCCGACAGACGGTCCGCGATCTTCTTCTGGGGCTTCGAGGCCGCTGCATCCGGCGACGGAGGCGAAGACGAAGACGAAGACGACGATGACGACGAAGCCGCCCGCCTGGGCCCACACGGATCGCGACCCAACCAAGCGAAGATCGGGCATCTACCGACGAGGAAGGAGGATTCCGGCGAGGACGAGAGCCTCCACGCGAGTCGACCCGCCATTTCCGAGCGGGACCACGAGCTCCGCCGACGTCGGAGCCTAGAAATTGGAACACCGTCAAATCTTACAGTAGTTTTCGTGGGTGGAGATGAGTGACGCCACGTCACCATGGGTGACGTGTTTGTGTTGTTTTTCAATCTTTTCTCTAGACTAATTTAGTTCTTACGCATTTCGACCCTTTTATATATATATAAAAGAGGAGGAGCACTTGGTTGGTTGTCCTATTTCTAATTCATCAGCTGGTGGGAATATTTTGGACCTATAAGTGAAATACTGCACCCATTAGTGCATATATATATATCTCAAATTTAGATCATTGAAAATTAATGAGAATGTAAGTTTGTAATTTCTGACACGAATTTACACATTTTAATTCAAACATATGACAAATCCAAAGTAACACGAATTGACAAGAATTTAACATACAAAAGTCTTATAAAATAAATAACGAAAATATAGTATTTTCTAATAATGCGATTTCCAAATTACACGTAAATGAATATTACGATCGAATAAAACATTGTAAATTCAATTCTATATACGTATTAGATTCGTGCAATACTTGCTCACATATTTCCATGTCCTTTCTTCATTTGTCATGTTTATTATCCCCACTTGTCGTCGTAGTTAATGTGCAAACAATGATAACATTCTTAAAAAGAAAAGAGAAAATTATAGCAAAACATTTGACAGTATAATCAAACTCTTAAAATTTTAAAAGATGCAATCAAAATGTAAACATTTTAAAATCTGAATAATCAGGTCTTAAGTTTGTAGGATATAACGTTGTAAATTCAATTTTATATATGGATTGAATTCGTGCAATACTTTGCTCACATATTTCCATGTCATTTTTTATTTATCACGTTTATCGTACCCACTTGTCATTGTAGTTAGTGCGCAAACAATGACTGACACTCTTAAGAAGAAAAGGGCAAATTAGAGCAACCATTTGACTGTATGAACAAATTCTAAAAATTTTATAAGATGCAATCAGATTGTAGACATTTTAAAAAATGAACAATCAAGTCTTAAGTGTGTAGATGGTGTCACCCGATCATCGGAATTACAGCCCCATACTGACTTTGGCTCAATAGATAATTTGATAAGCCAATGATATAAAATTAAGGAGAAATAGAGTTTCAAGTCAAACATTAAATCTCACCGTCAAATTGCGAATTAAATCATCTTAAATCAATCAAATTACAATTAAGCAATTAAAGCTGCTTGCAATTATACACATGTCATTGTTCAACGTTTGATTTAGTTTTTCTATCATTTTTTTTTCTGTGATTGAATGAGAATTGGAATTTAGAAACTGTAGGGTTTCAACAAGAAGAAATGAGTATTTCAAATTTGTTGATTGTGATTATCTTGTAGAAATTAAACTCATGGTTTTTATTGCTCATACGAATTGCGGTATATGCGAAAAAGCTTTGATTGATTTTATTTTTTTTGGTTCAAATTGAGATGGGAAATCAAATTTTAGGTTTTTTTTAATTTATATTGGATTTTTACTCGACTTTGCATAAAAATTGAGTTTTAGTTTCAATTAGTAGTCAGAAACTCAAATGGTCCGAAAGTCATATCACCTGATATCCTTGCCGCTAGCGGCGAACTTTTGCACAAATTCCAAATTATTTAGAACTTGATTGCGTTTCGTGCAAAACATTTAAGAATTTATGTGTAATTTTATAAGAAAAAAAAGGATTTCATAGGTAATTATTTTGTCAAATAACAATGAGTGTTATTTTGTCAAATGACACAATTTACCCGAGATTCGAGTGTTCTCTCTGTCTTTGTTGGTTCCTCCATCGCTAGTACAAGGAGAAAATGAACGAGAAAGAAAAAGCGCCACCAGTTTTCAGGAATATCAAGATAGATGAAGCAGTAGCAATTGATCTGATGTTACAAGACATTGGAACACGAGGAGGAAGAAACATGGGCAACTTCTTCGCCCGATGTTACTTGGCAACTCCATTCTCATTCAATTTCAGGTTTCTCACACATGGGAGACGTGTAATACAGCGGTCCAACAGTGTACTTAATGACTTCGCGGTACACGGAGCTCGGGCGGCTGAGTTCGACTCCTCGGCATCCGCCGGCAAAGTCGGTGGCAACGTCGCATGTCGGGTCCGGAGACGACACGAGCCTCACGGAGCACAGTTTCTCGTTGAGTTGCTTTCCGTTGATGTACTTGTTCACGATCATGTAGAATTGGCCGGCTCCATCGGTGTCATCGCTTCCATAGAATATCACTCTGTGCCTTTGGTCCATGCAAGTGAGCGAGACCTTGGCTCCTGCAATTCACATTACTGCCCCCCTTTTACATCGCTGAATTAAAATGTGATTGAATCTCATTGGGGATTTTGTGATGACGGTGCGAGTGATATTATAGTAAGTGATTCTCTTCTTTTGTGCCTTCAATTACATTGAATACGCTGGTTCCACCGCAAGAGGGAAAGAAAGAAGCAAATTGATAGAGAACAAAGTGTTTAGGGGTGTAATCGGCCCCATCGAGCCGCCCCATTGCTAAGCTCAAGCTCGACTCGAGCATACTTGGGGTTTGAAACTTGAGCGACTATTAACCTGTGCAAGTGCTTGAGCTCGACTCGACTACAAGATCAAGATGCTCTACTCGACTCGATTCCGGTCAATTTGTAAATAAACTCAAGTCGCGCTCGACCTTGAATATTATAAGTTCATACTAAGTAAAGCTTACGGATTTTCGTGTCTATTTAGCCAATTATTGAATTTTTTTTAAAAAAAAATAAAAGCTCAATTTGTCTTGCAAGCTTATTGGGTTGAGTATTGTCAAGCTCGAGCTCGAGCCAAAAAAAGGTAGAGCTAGTTATCAAACTCAAAAGTTCAAGCTACACGTGAATAGCTTAATTCAATGTCGAGATCGAGAGAGAGATACACCTTTAATAGGACGTCCACCCTGAACCCATTCATCGTAGCCCTTGGTGCAATCCTGGCAGAGAACTCTTCCACCGACGTGAATCACCTTACCGTCCTCCCAAGCCGAAACTGAATCGGCGCCTCCCAACCTCACCACAAGCAATGCCATAATCACCAACACCGCCGTTGCCATCCCCATCTCTCTCTCTCTCTCTCTCTCTCTCTCTCTCTCTCCGCAAGAGACCTGATGAAACCGTCGAAGTGTGCATAGAGAGATATATAGATGGCAGACACAGGGCCATTTTCCACAGAACGATTAATTCATGGAGGACCACTACTACTTGAACGTGCACTCCATTCTCATATAACAAAACCATTCTCCTCTCATCTCCTTTATGTTTAAATTACTACTGACGATTGGCGTTGAGGGACCCCTCTGCCATATGACCCAGTCAAATGACATCAGTCTTCAATTCTTCATAAAGAAAGAACCGACGTTCAACGATACTAACTAACGCATCCATTTAGATGAACCATTGTTCGGACGATACTTTCTTTTTGGATAAATGCAGATTTAACTCTCTCAACAAGATTGGTGTATCAGCCTTTGGGAATTCATATGCGTAAGAACATTTTTTTTCTTACAACAGCACATCGACGTTTTAAGTTCCTGATGGTAAAGCTTTGACTTTTCTGAAGTTATATTCACCATCTATATCCACACCCCGAAAATCAGTGTAACAAAACAAGAATTGCTTTTGCAACATTATTACGGTATACGAAACTCATCCGAATGACCGTCACTTTCAGTGCTTCGTTGGGTAACATGGAGGTTCGAGGTCCCACACAATCTCTCTTATAATCATAGGCCCAATTCAAAAAAACCTTCAACTTTTTACACTTTGTCCCAATATACCCTAAACTTTTTTTTGTCTAAAAAAAAACCACCAACTTTTATCTAAGTCCCAAATCGCCCTCCTAGTTAAAAATCCGTCCAATTAACGTCAAGAAAAAAAAAAAAAAAAAAAAAAAAAACGCAGAGAACCGGCAGTGCGGCGGTGGCCAAGCCTTCGCCGGTGGCCGCCGCCAGCCGCCGGGAAGGAGCGGCGGCCCTCGCTGGGCCTTCTCGAAGGCCGGCGACCTCGCCGCCCGGGCGAGCCGCCGGCCGGCGCGCGGCCCGATCGGGGCGAGGTTGCGCCTCCCCGGATCGAGGGGCACGCGCGCCACGGCCAGCTGGCCGCCGGGGCGGCGAGGGTCGCCGCCTTCGAGAAGGCCCGGCGAGGCCGAGGCGACCCTCGCCGGCCCGCCGGCGAGCCGCCGGGCGTCGGCCGAGCGCGCGACCTCGACCGGGCGAGAGGGCTGCGCGCCTCAGCCACCGCCCAGATCGGGGCCGCGCCCCGCCCGACCTCGCCCGGACGGGGCGTCAGCGCTCGCCGCTGGCGCCGCCCGAGGTCGCCGGCCTTCGAGAAGGCCCAGGCGAGGGCCGCCAGACCTCGCCGCCCGGGCGAGCCGCGCAGGGGCGCGCGGCCCGATCTGGGGCGAGGGTCGCGCCTCGCCGACCACTCGCTGGGATCGGCGCGCGCCTCGCCCAGACCTCGCCCCAGATCGGGGGCCGCGCGCCCTCGCCGGCCCAGCTCGCCGGGCGCGGCGGGGGCGTGCGCCCTCGGCGGCATGGCTCGCCACAGGCGGCGAGGGTCGCCGGCCTTCGGGAAGGCCGGGCGGGGCCGCCGCTCCTTCCCGGCGGGCCGTGGCGGCGGCCACCGCGAAGGCTTGGCCACCGCCGCCATTCTTCGGTTCTCTGTTACTTTTTTTTTGTTTTTTTTTTCGACGTTAACGTTATTTTAACGAGGGCAGATACAGATTTAGTAAAAGTTGGTGGTTTTTCTTGAGACAAAAAAAAGTTTAGGGTATATTTGGGACAAAGTGTAAAGTTGAAGGTTTTTTTTGGAATTGGGCCTATATATATCTAAAACATCGATAGTTTCTTTACCATTGGCAATCCACTTAGCCAACTCCTTACATAGAGGTCACAGCAAACTCCACTTGGCTTCAAGCTCCAAATTCAAAACAATTCAAAACAATGCCTCCACAGAGCCATTGCGGAAAATGCCCCGATGCACACAAAAAATCTGACTCGTATGGCTGCACATTCACTGGAAATAATTGATCCCCACTACAACTTCTTCAAAGTAATTATCCCAACTAAAAACCCGCCATGATAGTAGCAGCTGACCAAACACTCCATCTTCTCATAGAACAGCAGACACACCTTGACGACACCAGCTCATAGACCTCGCTTTACATCCTCATACAACACAAAAATAGCATCATTGTCACAGCAAACCAGCTGCCTGAAGTGCCTTCTTAAATGCCTCCTCGCTATTCCATGGTGTAACCTGCAAGGAAAACAACATAGCAGAAGCAGTCAATAATATGCAAGTTCTGTTTCGCTTCGTGTAAATTGGTTTTGCAGTCAGAGAGAGGTTTTCCCTGATATTGCTTCTAAAGAAATTCACAACACAATTTTTTGCAATCTTGACAATTGATTTCCATAAGTTGACAGCGTAACAGTGGTGATGATGGACAGGACAACCGAATATGTGGTAGTCGGCAACAGTCATAGCAGTGCCATGCTGGCGGTGATCAACTGGTAGTGACAGTGGTTGAACATGGCAAATACGAGGTACTCAGGGTGGTTGATGATAGTGGCAGACAGTGTCAACGAGTTCCTTTAAACCATTTCCTTTTCTTTAGATGAACACATATATTGTGCATTTTTAGTTGACCATAATAACAATTTCCAGCGACCAATTTTCCTTCTGAAACTAAAAACCCAGAGATGAGTAAAAGATTAGCAGAATTTCCATTAAACAAGTAAATTTAGTTCTGTGAAACACACCACAAATAACCCTTAATGATAATGCAAAATGATCAATAAAACAAGTAAAGATTGATAAAGATTGTAAGATTTGTCAAATTACTCACCTCAGGAACTCTAGAGGCAAAATGATTTTCAATCTTAGCCATGAGTGCCATGTCCCTTTCACTGCATAGCAAGTTGAACACAGCTCCTGATGATAAAGCAACACTACTTGTCATCAGGACACTTTTGTATGGCGAACTAGGCAACAATAATATATGCCAAAAGCACTCTTTATGAGCAGAGTGCATGCACAGAAAGCAGAGTACAAACGATTTGTATGCATGCATCAGACATAATGAGGAAATGCGATTTCCAACAGCCACAACTTATATCACAAATAACAGAAATCATCAACCAACACCAGTGGTTGGAGGGGAAAAAACACCCTGCTTTGCAACATCATCGCTGTATATATCAACATCTCAGTTCAAGAAATACAGAGAATGGATAAAGTGGTCCAGAATGCAGCAGATATTATTTAGAAATAGAGCACATTGTCTGTGTGATTTGGACAAAGCTCGCCCACTTCAATAACTCTTGGCTCAGGCAAGTGTTATCTCAATGAATAAGTAGATACATAAGAAGCTTAATATTGATAGGGGATGATTACCCCATCAAGGTCAATATGCAAAGAGAACCTGAGACTTGCTCTTTCTTTCTCTTTCTAAGGTTGAGTCAATTTTGTTCTTTATTAGGAGCAGGAAAGTTACATTGAAGTCGATACCACAGTCATCCTTGCAAGTTTGGCTCCAAGATGAGTGAGAAAGGTAAGAAAACCTACAACCTGCATCTACCATGTCAAAGTCGATAGTATGTTCTTTTTGTACTTGAAAACTGTCTTGTCAATGCGGGAAAGTATGGGCACTTTATCAATGAGAGCTGCTACGACAGAGTAAGTTTCAAAGGATTTCAAACCAATTCAAGGGTCGAATCTTGCTAAATAGTTAGCTCATAGCATGCAGTTAAAGAGTAACTTCACTGCATTGAGTTTTGGAAAACAAGTAGGGGATCCAAGTTTTGATCAGAGGGAAACTTCTTCTTTGGTCAAAATTAGAGGGACACACTGTCCACGTGGCAATCTGGATTACATGGTATGTTATGAGGACGAGAAAAGAAAATCATAATATTTCTCTTAAACCCTCATTTTATGAAAAGAGGAAATCAACCTTAACTAGGCTTAGAGAGGATAGACAACATAAGAATGTGAAATACTAGGCCTACCAATCTATTCAACGTAATACTATACATATAGTCTTCATGAGAAAAACAACCACCAAAGAAACATGTAAAAGTTGGAGCAAATCTTAAATCAGGAAACAAACCTTTGCGCCCAAAACGCCCTGCCCTTCCAATTCTGTGCAAGTATACCTCACAATCAGGATCCGACGGATTATTATGCTTTACAGGAAGATCATAATTGATCACCAAATTGACCTACAGGTAGTCATCACACCATGTCTACATATTACAAAATAACAAAGATAAAGTAGCATTCCCTTAAGCTAAGATGAGACCAATGAACTTCGGATAATGGAAAAGTATAATGAAAGCAGTACCTGCTGTTGATCAAAGCCTCGAGCCAGAAGGTCAGTTGATATGAGAACCTGTGTCAAACCATCTCTAAATTCTTTGACAATCTTGTCTCTGTCTTCCTGCCTAAGAGCACCTTGGATAGTGGTAACTTCATAGCCAAAACTAACAAGTGTCTCATGCAAATTTTTTGCACTATGTCTGGTGCGAACAAATATTATTGTCTGTCCCAGATTCTCTCCTAATTCAAAAATTCTATCTCTGATCACTAAAACCTTGGAAGGTTCATCAGGGCAATGCACCTTGTACTGCTTTACTGACTCTAAGGATAGTTCTTCTTTCTTCACGAAAAGCTGATTGTAATCTTTCACTATTCTTGTTACAAAATTCTTCACCTTGTCATCGAATGTGGCAGAAAACAAAAGGACCTGGAACAAAATAACCAACCTTTGAGTAATCAATATAACCAGAATGAGAAAAAGAAAAGAAGAAAAGCATGGCAATTCAAGAGAAAATTATTCCTTCCCATACTACTTTCTAAGCCAATTCTGCATAACATTGAAACATTATGAACTAGAGTACTAGACATAATGAACTAGGTTGCATCACAAATCCGGTAAATCTTCAATATGTCAGACTCAGAGAGGTCAGCCCACATATAAACAAGTTTTTTTTCTCCCCAATCCAATTCTATTATGTGTTTGTCATTAACATACATAGTAAAACAATTGTCCAATCAAAATTAAAATTTGCTAGGAGAATAACACTGCATCATATGATAGCCGCGAGTTTACAGTCACGCACTCATCCTGAATAAGTGTTTTAACATGATGTGCAATTTATTGTGATTAAGCAGCTACATTGCAGCACAGGTAGGGAGTTTGTTGTGCACAAAAATCGACATCGCTTGGAGATGGAAGTATTTATTCTTTCAAATAACCAAGACTAAGCAAAGTAGAAATGCATGAAATACATTGAGGAGCTCATCTAA